GAGGTCTAGGTCTCAGGAATGACTATCCGACCCTGGCATGGCCATAGCGTCTAGATTGTCCTGGCTGTCGAAGCAAAACTGACTGCATGGCATCCACCCCATGTCCTTCGATGATGAGCGGGTTTTCCGGCGATCACACCACCCTCTGTCCAGGCTGTCGAGGGCCTGAGATGCCTGCAGCTCAATGGCCCTTGGACAGTTGGCAGTTGGACCAATCTCGTGCCCCATCCTGCGCTCGGGATTCAGGGGCTCGTGAATCTACTTGCATATCTACATGCCGGGGCCATTGACGCCTTAGAGAGTGTCCCTGACCAGCGAGACAAGACAAGCTATGGCCAGTGCTCTATAGTTGTACCCGATTCGTTGGCACGATGATTGTTTGAGGGATGGCAGCACGCCAACTGATCCTCGGCACTACCTTACAAGCCTGTGGAAAACAGTTCGACAATGTGAAGGCGGTGACCCCCACATGCTCTGTCTCATTCGTGGTGCTCCTGGTTGACGACTCGACTGACGCGTTGCGTTCCACCTTTCCCACGGTGAACGGATTGATAAAACTACATTGATACGCCTGCAGTGTCAAACACTATCATCATTCCTGAATCGCGTCAACGTACCGGTATTTCGCGTCTCTTCCCTTCCCACAGGACTAATGCATTCGCCGTGTGAAGATGTCAGGCGCACTGGTGCTATTCCGATGCCCGGCAACCACCATATTCACCACCGCTATTTCACCACAGCAATCCGCTATTTACTAAGTATTTGGTTTCGGAACATAATAATGCTTCTGATCAATATGAATTGCCGCCTACGTTGGTTACCGCCAAATTCACAAGTGATAATCATGTTGTAATAATAGGGTAATCTTGCTACAAATCGCCTTCCAACAGGGAACAGTTAACACGTATATACGCCTTTGTCCACAGCTCATCGATATATGTCCCGCACAGCGTCGTCAACGTAAGGTGCATCCCCAGGAACTATAGTCCGGGGGCGTTCGATATAGGTAGCCCCCTCGCCCCCGCGACCTGGAGCCTGATCATAATATCGTTCAACAGGCCGCGAACTGTACGCATCCTGCAGTATCGCCTGCTCCCCAGGTCTAGGTCCGTAGTCGGCAACATATGCAGGTGCGATTTCGCGTCGGCTCTCGGGATGGGCACTTCCAGCATACTCGTGGATTCGGCCTTCTGGGCGCATGCTCTGCATTCTCCCAAACTCTCGAGGCACTTCATATCTTACAGGCTCTGGTGGCCGTACACTTGCTGCTCTGGCAGCATATTCTCCTCGCCCTTCATCCGGTATTCTTCGCTCCGGCGGCGCCATAACTTGCACATATTCCGTTGGAGGTGGGATCGGCCTCACCGAGTACTCGCGTGGTCTTCCGTCACCATAATCATGAACAATACGCTCAGGCTGTGTAACAACACGCCGAGGAAAAGGATATGCCGATGATGCTCTTGGGTATACAATCCCGGGGTCCTCATATGTCAGAGGACCCAAATGTCGGGAAACGGCTCTGGGTGGTGCCCGTTCATACAAAATCTCGGGTTCGCCATGGCCAATAGCTGGCGCAACAGATTGGCGAACAGGAGGGCGAGGGGGTTCAATATACTCACGCCCAAAGGAATCTACAATGATTCTCGTAGGAGGTGGCCTGTGTTGCCCGTAAGTATCAACATCTGGCCGAACACTCATCCGTGGCACCTCATAAGGGTCACGGTACCGGTGTACCGGCTCGCCGTAAGCGCCATCAATAACGATCGGCCGAGTCGAGTAAGTCGCGCTCAGTGGACGTTGAATATAAAGCGAGGGCGAGGGCTGACGTTGAATATACACATCCCTAGGTGTGCCTCGATCCTCACTGTAATCTTTGCCGTATTGACGCTCCGTGATCACCCTAGTGCCTGCTGATGGTTGCTGAGGGTAATCAGCGATATCATAGCGAGCACCAACAGCCTCCTCCCGCAAAGGTCGTGGTTCATGCTGCTGTTGTGGGTCGTGAATGATAGTAAGCTCATCGTGATCAGGCTCATTACCCTGCCTTTGGGACTGCTTTTGTCGCTTGCTTGGGCGGGTGAATGTCGGTGCATGAATAGGCGAAGGCGACTGCGGTTCAGGCTTGATATACGGCATGACATCCTCAGGAGGTTGCCTATCAGCCTTTCTCTTCTTCTTCTTTTTGGACTTCTTTTTCTCCGAGGTCTTGCCAGTCTGTGGGGAGCTGTCGGGGCTCGTATTAACAAAGGGTTCGCTTCTCAAAGCAGCAACTTGTGCTGGAGCGCCTTTGGGTTTATTGGACAGCTGACTTGGAGTCGTGATCAATGGTCCTTCTACAGCCGCCTGGGACACTTGAGCCGGTCGGGGTGGCACTGGCAATACGTTGTAAGCTCGGATAAGAGGGGATGGGGGGTGGGCATCGGCATATGCTTGGCTAGAGCTATGGCCTGCAAAGCCCTGGTACTGGTCTCTCTGCGGCTCGCTCGTGTTCCCCGAATCCCCAGACAAACTCTGCTCTCCACTGGTATTATTATGACTTGCCCGCGCAGATGGGACCGTTTCACTTGGGTAGTTATTAAGGCCAGGAACGTGGAAGCCGACTGGAGCGCGCGTTGCTGGAGCCGGGCGTTCCCGGATAACCGGTACAGAAGCGACAGTGCCGTCTGTGGCTCCCACAAGGCTATAGCCTGTATGGGGCTTTGGGGGTTGGAGGTCAGCATGATCGGTCGTGGAGGCTTGCGCTGCGGGCGACTCGTCGGAGACGCGATGGATGAGTTGCGACTCGGGGGTATCATGTCGCGATGAGTAGAAGGTGTTATCGTCAAATGAGTCACTTGCAGCTTCATTAGTAGCACTCAGGTTTTCATCTAGGTGCGAGGGGCCTGCAGTCTCTTGGACAAGCGTTAGGGCCTTGGAGAGAATGTTGGACAAGTCAACATCGGCCATTGGCTCGGCCTTCTCATGCTTGGAACCACGGCGCCTATCAATCTCCTCCCTCAACGAACGCTCAAGCCTTTGCCTTTTGAGCTGTAGCTCGGCCCTTATGAGTTCATCGGACTTCTCTAACAGAATAGGATTGATCTCGGTCCTCGCAGGCGCCAGCGCTCGCTTCACAGACAAAGCATCTGACGAGGCCTGTGCAACGGGCTGCTTCTGCCACGCCTGCGCGGCAGGTTTTTGGCCATTAGCTTGCAGTGAGCCATTAATTGGACGCGGGGAAGGTCGTGATAGAGCTAGCAAGCCGTGGGGGAGCTTGACAGATGGGTGGCTTCCAGACAGCACAGCATCGCCGAACTGCACAATCTTCTTGTACTGTTGGATGTCGTGTATCCTCTTATCGGTCGCGGCGGCGGTAGCATCGCTCGCAGATGGGTAAGCTATAGGAACGTGGCCTTGCGCCATTGCAGAATACCTCTGGGCTATTAGTATGAAATACGGGGCAAATTTACGAAGCGACAGCTGCTCGATTCAAGAAGCGGACAAGGAAGAAAAGGAACAAGAAAAGGAGGTGAGGTAGCAACACCCTCGCGCGAAAGCTGCTTTGCCGAAAAAGGTTTATTCAATCAGCAAGCTCAATGGCACCACGCACATGGCGGTATGGGTGGGAGAGACGAAAGTCGCGGTCAGGGCTGGTGGGATTTGCAATTCCTCAGCACGCGAACCAGTCCATCTGGGTAGAGAGGGAACTGCTACTTGGAGTCGCAAAAAAAAACCATACGGGGCAGGGAATAATATTTGACAGCTGGGCGCCGCCGCCTAGGGAAGGCGGTGTGGACAGTGTGGGCGGCAGAATGGCTGGAGGTCTGTTTTGTGGGAATTGGAACCCCCAAGAAATAAGGTATGCCGAATGTGAAACATGATAATCAACGACGCCATCGAGGGACCGTGTGTACATACTGCTGAAGACGAGGCGGCGTGCAGTTGGAACGTTCTCGAACCGTAGCTGTTGGCGTCGGGAGGCACGTCAGGTGCGCAGCGCAAGTGCAAGCTGTGGCCTTGTTCGCCGTGGCCGTGTTGACGATGACTACGACAGATTTATCTTTTAAGTTACAGGCCGCCGGGAGCGCCATTAGTTGCTAGCCTCTGCCTAGCACGGAGAAAATTGTTTGAGTCACGCACATCGGCCGCAGAGTGCAGAGTGCCAGCGCCCGCGAACCCCACACAGCCACCACTCATCTCAAAAACACTGCCGTGCAGGTGACCTCGTCCCCTCCACAAGCAGCGTGGAGGCACTCGCCATATGCAGGTGGCTGCCTATTACCTACCTCAATCGACTCCCACGCCAAGCTGCACATGCATCTTCCCACCCACTGCTCCTGCTTCTGCTGCTTCGGGAGTTCTCTTCAATCTCACCGGCTCGTGAAATCTTTTACATTACCTATCCGTCTTTGTTTGCCGTTCCACAGCCCGTCTCGCAGTCTCTGTTCCTGGCCGACCACCCACCGGTCTCTGCCATTTTGCCTGCCACAAGGCAATCATCATCGCGTGCACGGGCCTCGTAAATCCGCGGCAATCTTGAACATTCACACCACCTGTCGATGTACTCACTCTCCTGCTGCCTTTAAAAGGTAGATCCTTGTGATGCCACTGGTTGCATGGCCGCCTTTCTCACCCGCTCACTCACTCACTTCTTCTTCCTCTCACCCGACGGTATTTCCTGCTGGCTTGGGACTTTCTGGAAGTCAAGCCTCTTGATTATTAATTTGCCGCTGCCTCCTTGCCTCTAGAATCTACTTGCCCGTCTGTGATACAACAGCGGTCTGCCCTGTGCACTTCCGACATCTTATCGTTCCTCACTTGCCCCCCCCTGCACTATCAAAGCAAGCATCACCCACGGCCTCACTTCTGCAACTTGCTCCCTCAGCCTCCCACCAGCTTTCTTTTCCACCCAGACCCGTAAATGTTAAGCGGTTTCTGGCAGAAAGTCTAGGCGCACCTGTCTTTTTTCACCCAGCCGTCTTCAACGCTTGCTGCTCTGGTGTAGCCGCACGTTGCAAGACATGGCTGCAAATGGTACGCACCTCATCAGCCCTTCAGCAGCCACGCGGTCAATCTCATCACCCACGACGCACGGCAATGGCACTTTCGCCGTTTCCGCCGAAACTCTCCCCTCCTTCGGTCGACCAGACTTTATTAACTCTCATTCCCAAGGCAATCACTACCCGCCAAGCCAAAACGGCGCCTCTCCAAACTGGAACCCTGCGGCCCTTCTGCAGCCCCATCGCAGAACACAGAGCGGATTCCAGCCTTCTCGCTCGGGAAATCCCAGTGCTCCCACGTCTCCTTTCCTAGGCCCAAGAGAAGTTCTGCCCGCCAGGGCCAGTACTCCGCTTGTATTCCAGTTCGATAGCAGGCATGGCAGTCCTTCTGCCGGCCCGTCAAGCCAGGCTTCGACGCCGTCCAGTGATACCCCGGGTGCTAACGGCCAGGGGCAGTGGATTGAGCGGATGAATAACGTTCAAAACCGGCCAGATGTTCCTCAGCCCAAGAGACGCAAAACCGAAGATGGCCAGGACTTTCAGTTCAGGACTAATGTTCCTGTGCGCAGCAGTAGTGGGGTCTTTGGAGACTATGTTAGAGACATGCAGTACAAAGCTAGGATCAGTGCTGCTCCAGCAGCCCGGTCTATGACTGTCGATTTAACTGAGGGTGAGGACCCCTTCCCCTTGCCGGGTCCCATATTTCGTTTTCAATCAAGGACTAACAAAGCTTTACCACACGCAGGCAATGATGACGAGGCGACTGTGGTCGAGGACCCTAGAGACGAAGAAGTCTGCTATGGAATGGTGCAGACCAGCTTGAATTGCTCAAAGGTCCCATCGCCAAAACCCGGCACTAAGAGTATTTTTGGCGAGGGGTTCAATCCGGCCATCAAAATTGTTCTCAAGCGCCAAGTAGGGGATAAGACGAACAAAATCCAGGCTTACGACCACACAAGAGATATCATTGGCTTGGTTGACGCCTCTAGTGCAGCTGCATTGTCTCCATTGCTGGATTCCAATATTCGAATGAGGACTGACTGCCGCATTCAACAACGTAAGAAGGAGCCTGGTGAAGAACCAGGCCAACCCGCGTCGAGATCTTATCCACTAGACGTGGTAGTCTATGGTCGGATCAGATACTCCAAAAGCGTGGGGAACTGGTTGGGCAAGCATAAGCTTAGGCTCATCGCCCCCTATCTGGTGCAAAAAGGCATTCGTGTTCACAATCCGCACGTGGTTGAATACCGCCCACCCCCACCAAAAGTTTATAATCCCGAAATGAACGGTTCCTTGGTTAGTTCTTCAACACGGACTGTGGAGGAAATGCGTTCTGAGGTCATGGGTGTCTTTGACTCGCTGACCCGCAGTGAGGACCTCCCGTTGAGGGATCCTCATCCAATCATCACCACTCCACTACTTAAGCATCAAAAGCAAGGCTTGGCCTTCATGATGACGAGAGAAGAAACTAGAACTAATGAGCCGGGAGACAATGCCATGGTTTCCTTCTGGCAGACAAAGATAGCACCCAACTACGAGAAGAGATACTACAACGTCATTACCCAACAAACTCAAAGAGAGCCGCCCCCAGAAACTCGTGGCGGTATCCTAGCTGACATGATGGGTCTGGGAAAGACCCTTAGCATATTATCTCTCATAGCTAGTTCATCTGCATCTGCGACACATTGGGAGAGCCTCCCACCTCAACAGCCGACAGCCCCAGAGACCAAGCCTTCCAGACAGGATGTCTTGGCCTCCCAGGCATCATTGCAACTCACGCCTCTTTTGCGAAACGCCAAGACAACTTTGCTCATCTGTCCTCTGAGTACCGTAACAAATTGGGAGGAGCAGATCAAACAACATGTTCTCCCCGACAGCCTCTCGTATCATATTTATCATGGGTCGAACCGAATCAAAGATCCCGAGAGGCTTGCTTCCTTTGACATTGTCATCACAACGTATGGGTCAGTCTCAAACGAGCTCAGCGCTCGGAACAAGGGCAAAGACGGAGTCTACCCCCTGGAGCAGATCGGTTGGTTCCGTATCGTTCTGGATGAGGCGCATATGATTCGTGAACAAGCGACGCTGCAATTCAAGTCAATTGTTCGCTTGCAAGCAGACCGGCGTTGGGCTGTCACAGGAACGCCTGTTCAAAACCGTTTGGAGGACCTGGCTTCCCTGCTGGCCTTTCTTCGTCTGTCTCCGTTCGATCACCGCGGCAGATTCACCCGTTACATTGTCGAGCCTTTCAAAGCCCTTGATCCCGAAGTTGTGCCAAGGCTTCGGATTCTTGTCGACACAGTTACGCTACGACGTCTCAAGGATAAGATCAATCTGCCGCCAAGGAAGGATTTGGTGGTCAAACTGGAATTCAGCCCTGAGGAACGTGCCATCTACGACTTGTTTGCCAAAAACGCACAGGATCGCGTCAAAGTTCTCTCAGGATCTCATGATGGCCACGTCTTGGGTGGCAACACCTATATTCATATCTTAAAGGCTATTCTGCGTCTACGACTTTTGTGTGCGCATGGGAAAGATCTTCTCAACGAAGAGGATCTCAAGTCGCTCCAGGGAATGTCTGCTGATATGGCCATCGATATCGATGATGACAACGACGAAAAGCCAGCTCTATCAGATGCCAAGGCGCACGAAATGTTTGCTCTTATGCAGGAAACCAATAATGATGCCTGCATAGACTGTAGCAAGAAATTGGGTACAAATGAGGGAGCTAACCTCGACTTGGAGGGGCAAGAGGATGTTCTAGGTTACATGACGCCCTGCTTTCATGTGATTTGTCGAGCCTGCATTCGAAATTATCGGGATCGAGCCAAATCTCTCCTCGATGCAAGCCAGCAAGCTGGGCTGTGCCCTGTATGCCGTTCTCATGTCAAGTTCGAGTTCGTGCAACTGCATCGGCGAGATGTTGATGCCGAACATGATGGGCCTGCTAAATCCCAAGTAAAGGGAACAAAGAAGAAACTTGACAACTACAGCGGACCTCACACGAAGACCAAGGCTCTCATCGAAGACTTACTCAAGTCAAAGGCTGACAGTGAGGCAAATCCACAGGAGCCCCCGTATAAATCCGTGGTCTTTTCTGCATGGACCTCGCATCTTGATCTAATTGAAGTAAGCCTTCGATCCGTTGGTATTACGTTCACCAGGCTCGATGGCACAATGTCCAGAACAGCTCGCACCGCCGCAATGGACAGTTTCCGGGAGGACAACAACGTTCACGTCATTCTCGTTTCCATCATGGCGGGTGGGCTGGGCCTCAACCTGACGTCTGGAAACAATGTATATGTGATGGAGCCACAATACAACCCTGCCGCCGAAGCACAGGCTATCGATCGAGTCCACCGCCTGGGACAAAAGCGGCCCGTTCGGACCGTTCGATATATCATCCAAGACAGCTTTGAGGAAAAGATGCTGGAGTTGCAGGACAAAAAGAAGCGATTAGCAAGTCTCAGCATGGACGGCCAGAGTAAGACTCTGGACAAACGCGAAGCAGCGATGCAAAAATTGAAGGACATTCGAAGCCTCTTCAAATAGCATTCATCAATCTCATCTCTTTCTTTTTTCTTTATTTCTTTATAGGGCAGGCGCTTTGCTTTGCAGCCTTTGCAGCATTTCCTGGCGTACTTAGAACTCCTTTTCTTCAAACATAGTAGAGGAGGGCGACAACCACTGGTCTGCTCTTTAATGGCTCAGGATTATCATCAGGGGGGGATATTATGATTCACATTTATCTTGGTTTGGGAGTTCAACGTCCGCTCTATGGCTGGGGATAGTTCACACACCGTCTTCTATGGCGAAGCGTGGCAGCGTTGGCAGGCGGTTTGGGATGGAGGCTTGGGAGTTTTGACATCAGCAGCTTTTAACATGATACGATGATTATACCCGGTGGTTGATTCAGCAATATAAAGAGATATTTAGAGGCAGCGCCCCCATATCGGGAGTGCTGCGTTTCAGTGAGCAAGGGTGTCTATGCTGCAGGACACACAAGCCTGCTTGCAGAGCTATGACGATCAATTCAAAAAATTTAGAACTACATGCTTGAGGGTGACTAGTCATCATCGTACAAGTCCAAAGAAAATGAACCATTTGCCCCAAACGCCTATTCATCTAACACCATCGTTTTGCTTTCCGACTTGCTGGGGTATCATCTTATTTCTACTGAGAGCTCGCTACCAGGGAGAGAGAAGCTCACATGAGAGAAAACGAAATATGCAAGCGCGAGGAGTGGCGCTATCGTGAAATCAGGCAACAGAGTCATCCTCGGGCTTCAGCCCCGCGTACTGAGTACCCTGGTTGGCAGTGCTGAGTCTCGCACAGAGACTCAGGAGGGCCACCGTCTCGGTTGCGGCATAGTGGTTAAGCGCATCGAGCAGAATCTGCAGGTGGCGGCTAAAGTTGCTCTCCCACTTGCGGATGATCTCGAAAAGGTTGTTGATGCGTGCCTCGGGGTCGCCGTCCCCGGCTGAGATCGAGGATGTGTCGGCACCAGGAGCTGAAGGCCGGTTGGCGGCAGCCTTAAAACGCTTCCACTGGTCTTCCGTCATGGTGGTGGGCTTTGTAGTGCCAGAAAGGTCCGGGTCGGATTTCTCGAGTTCGCGGGTCAGCCAGTTCGTCCAGGTGGCAAAGATGGTGCAGGTCTGCATAAGCTTGGAGTGTATCTAGGGGTTAACCGAGTAAGTAAGGTTGTCTGAGAAAGTTCGATTCTCGTGCAATACGTACCCTTAGCAGCTTGCTGTTGGTCAACATGCACTCCTTCAAGCACGTATCAAGGAAATCAACATGGTTCTGCATCAGCTCATCGACAGTCCGAGTGAAACCTGATGGCTTCTGATCCTCGGCATTATCTTCCGTGTTTAATCGCGACATGAATTTAGACCAGTTGGGTTCGATGACTTCCGCAGTGCAAAAATAGAGCAGCTGCTGCACAAAGACCAGCATCCGTGCTCGAAGTGTCCATACCCGACGCTTCCAAATTTCCAAGTTGCGGCTCGATCCCTTATGACCCCAGCTAATGCCACGAGTTTGAGTCTGCCAGGTTGTTGACAGCTGAGATTCGAGGTAGCGCAATGAAAGGAGGTAGCGGAAAAGTGCTTGGTAACGCCACACGGTCTTCCTGCTAATAACAAGGGAGACAGGGAAAGGCACCACATAATCAAGCTGTAGGGATGTGAAGCCCGTTGCCTTCTTATCAGACTCCATAGGCTGGTTAGAAACAGGTTGCAAAGCCTCCCCATGCTCTATTCCCGTGATATTCACCACTCTTTGGAGTGACTTCGTCAAAGTGATTTCATTCATCTCAACCTTAACGTCCTCCTTGAATGGATCAAGAGAAACGATGCTTCCTGGCTGGCGGAGCACCAGTTCAAGAAGAGACTGAAGCTTGCCGGTGTTAACAGTTTTGACGCCCTTGCGAAGCTCTGAAGCACCGAGCTCAAGGAAATATGAAAAGTAGTCGGATGGATCGAGGAAGAAGTAGTGTTTGAGTGATCGTAAGCGCGCAGGAAGAGCATGTGTTGTGAGGAGAAGCCTCATGAGCGACTCGTTTGCATGCGCGTAGGCGTTATTGACGTTCTCCAAGAATCGAGAGTCGTCAAAAGAGGTAGGGACATCCTCGACAACCTTGCTGACATCAACGCCGCCACATTCACGGACCACGTTGAGATATTTTCCTGCTAGAAGAACCTTGTCCTTCACGCTTTGAAGCTGAGGGGGAACATCGGAATCGCGGATCGTATATCTCCTCTCCCAGTATTCATCTGTGTAATCTTGCTCCAAGCGATCTCTCCGGATGCTCTTCTGTTCTTTGATAAGAAACTCGGAATGTGGGTCACTGATCCCACCATGATGCAGCCATTCATTCAGCATCACCATGTAGGGTCGGCTGGCATCCCTGAGAAGGTTTGTGAGCAAGGCTCGAGCTGCAGGGTCTCCCGACATGGCCTCAAGGCGTGCTGTGACCAACCCAAGTGCCAAACCCCCTTTGCAAAGTTTCTTGGCTGTCATATTCCCAGGAACGAGCTCACCACCATCTCTCAAGTTTTCAATAATGTCGTCGTAGTCATCCACACTGTCCTCTTCTTCCTCGTCGTCATCGTCAAGAAGAGAATTGCGCTTCAGGAGCTCTTGAGCCAGCTCATACAACTGCTGCATCATTTTGCATGTTGAGATGGTCTGAACATTGAGCACATGGACTGTGAACGTGTCGCTTGTGAGAAATTGCGTCTCGAGCTGGGCAATCATTATCAAGTAATCCTGCAGCCATTTTCGTACAGAGGCACACAAGGCGTGGTTGACAGCGCCGAACTCCTCGCGACTCTGCACGTCTACAAAGGCCTCCAGGGCAGAGTAATAGGTTGCCATTTTGACCATCGACTGTGCTAGGTCATGCAAACTCGGGTCCATGCCAGACGCAATCTTGAAAGCTGGTCCCGACAACCGATCTCTCTCCTCGTTGGGGTTGTAACCTTTGGCATAACGAATGTACTGGCCTTCATAGCCCATAAAAACGAAGAGGAGGTCCGCCACAACGGCAGCTTCTTGCTCTTCCAGCGTCAATGTACCAAGGGGCTTGGGTTGAGGAGCCTGGGGCACTGCCGACGCAATGGGCGCTATCGATATTCTCGATGCCAATGGAGCTGTCGTATGTGGCACCAAAGAGGCCTCGGGGTTCCAAGGGGCTGCAAGGGTTTGGGTCAGCCAGCCGTACCAACAGACGTCCAAACTCGATCATACCTGAAGGTGTCTCTGCACGGGAACGACCCTCCGATACCTTGTGTCTATGCGTATCCGGTGCCTTCCTCTCCACGGGTTGGCGCTGCCTGTCAGTGCTCGTACTTCGGGGAACCAAGCGCTGCACATGAGCTTCGATAGTGCGTTCAGTAATCCGTCTCTCCTCATATCGTCGTTCTTCAGTCGATCGGCTCACATTCCTATGGTGTCCCGAAGCCGTACGTTTGTGTGTTGTCGATCCATAGCTCGCGCTAGTTTGAGGAGATGCTGTCTTCCTCCCAGACTCCATTCTCTCTGCTCGGAAGCTTCCGTTCGTTGTCGAGACGCGGGGACGCTCGTCGGCGGTTCCATTGGCGCGACTCGATGATCGCGCTGGGCCCGAGGACATACTGGCGGGCTACATGAAGCCCTTCTGAGGTTGGTTCAGCCGCGTCCTAAGCCCATGTAGAGTAGGTTTACTACAAAACGAATCAGATCGGCGTGGCGCTCTGGGTATTTATTGCGGACGCATGAACTCGATGTTTAAATAATTTGGCTATGGAGGGATACGTGGGGTCAAGTCAGAGGTGGATATGCCATTATCATGTTAATATAATCCCGGACGAGATCCAAGCTCATAGCACTATGAACCGCTAATTGAAACGCGCTTCAGTGGGCAGGCGCGTCATTCTCTCGGAACCCAAGTAAATGCGGCTGCCGGGAGAAGGTGGGATGTACGTGCTTAGGTTAGTACCCATATCTGCGTCGGCCCTTGTGCATTGCCGTGATATTGAGTAGAGGAAGCGAATGTATTGTGACTATATGATTACCGAATCTCTTGGCAAGGCAAACAGAGCTCAACGCCTGCCGATATCGTGATTCCCACCACCTATGCTCATAGAGTTGGTTGGAGAATTGGCCTGGCCCTTGTCGCTGGTACTGATGTCAGTGGGTGGACTCAACTCAGCCAATCACAGCCGCGGGTGCCCGCAACTCCCTCTAGGTTAGCTAGAGCATGCTGCGTACTTCGACTGCTTGCCTAATATGAGCAGCGAGCTACAGCCAGACAACTCTCACAATCAACCTTGTTGCCCAGCTCCTCCAACAAGTCAACCACACTCCATCCACACCAACCCACGCTCTCCCTCGTCCACATCGACACAATAGGCAGATCCGCCTTCTAGGAATCCTGCTCTAAGCCGGCAACCCCCCAGAACTACCGCCAAGATGTTTATGGCAAGATCGGAATACGGCAAGCTTGCTTCCCTCCAGATAGCTTTGGCCGTGGATGTGCTTCGAGCTAACCACCCATGACAATTCCAGATCGGGGAATCAACACCTTCTCCCCAGAAGGCCGCCTGTTCCAGGTCGAATACTCCCTCGAGGCCATCAAGCTCGGTTCAACCGCCATTGGGGTAGCCACCTCCGAGGGCGTCATCCTCGGCGTCGAGAAGCGAGTCACATCCACCCTCCTCGAGACCTCCTCCGTCGAGAAGATTGTCGAGATCGACCGCCACATCGGCTGCGCCATGTCCGGCCTGCAGGCCGACGCCCGCTCCATGGTCGAGCACGCCCGTGTCGAGTGCCAGAGCCACACCTTCAACTACAACGAGCCCCTCCGCGTGGAGAGCACCACCCAGGCGATCTGCGATCTTGCCCTGCGCTTCGGCGAGGGTGCAGACGGCGAGGAGACCATCATGAGCCGGCCCTTCGGTGTCGCACTTCTAATCGCCGGCTTCGACGAGGATGGTCCCCAGTTGTTCCATGCTGAACCCAGCGGTACCTTCTATCAGTACGATGCCAAAGCTATTGGATCAGGCTCCGAG